CACCCCACCCCGCCTGCCCGACACCTAAGAGCAGAGAGGATGCCGAAATGATGAATAAGTTTCCATGATAATAAAAACATATCGACACGGCAAAGGCCCCTCCTCGCGCCGTGCCCTCGTGGACGCAGCCGCACGTGAGTGCAAAGGTCCGCGGGCGCCACTCGATCCGCTGCAGCCTCTCTTCCTCCTCCTCCTCCTCCTCCTCCTCCCCCTCCTCCTCCCCGTCCTCCTCCTCTCCAGGACGCCGCCGACACTCGCACACTCGCGCGCCGGCGGGGCGCCACTAGACATCGGGTTTATCAAACGCCGGGGATGCGAAGCAGCAGCGCATCATTCCCTGATGGCGGTCTTCCCTTTTGCGGCCGCGCCGCCGCGCCTTCCCCCCGCCGTTGTTGTTGTGCCATCCCCTTGCTCTCGAAGGGGGCCCGTCCGTGAGCCGCGTCCCTGACGTCGCTCTGTCGCACTCCCCGGGTCAGCGGCGGGGTGAGGGTTTTTAATTTCCCCAATATGCATTTTTGGGGGATAATTGTTCCAATAATTTTTTTTGTTACATGTCTGAAATTTTTCTTCGAAAGTTTAATTTTTGTCAAGTTTTTCTCGGAGTATTTGAATTTTTTCTATTTTTTTTTTTACGGGAATGTTTAAAAAATTTTCACCGAAAAATTTTCGGACTTTTAAATCCCTACGCGGTGGGTGTCTTGTCGGGGGGCTCGCTCGTGGCCCCCCGCCGCCGACCCTATTGGCCTGTACGGCTTCTTGAGCAGGAGTAGAGTAGTAGGGAGGATGGAGACGCACTCGGTGCGAGGAGACAGACGCGTGCCGGGCCGGTTTGACGTCGCGCTTTGAAGTCCCTCCGCCGCAAAAGGCGCCGGCGCCGACCCCCCCGCGGGGCCTCGGCAAACGCACAGCGCCGCGCCGAGGGAGGAAGAGGCACTCGACCGGCGCGCCGAGCAGCGCCGAGCAGCGCCGACGTCAGGACGGCCACGACCGCCTCCAGCAGTGCGGATGGCGCCCGTCCCAAAATTTTCCGAAAAAGTTCGAATCTGCACAAGAAAAAAAATTGGAAAATTGGAAAAATTGAAACTTTCCTTTTAAATTTTTATTTTTTTTAAAAAATCCGAAAAAAATTCCGAAACACACTTTTTATTTTGGAAAAGAAAAATCCCTAGTCGTGCACAAATTGAGTGGTTTTGTTACCCGCCATACTTTACAATTTTGAACTCAGATTTGGGTAGCCCGGTGGTGTATCTCCGCTCTATCAGCTTCTCTCGAATCCTCCTGTTCTTTCCCAGTGCGAGACCACCCCGCTCGTGGCTTCGCGTCTTTCTGCGCCTGCGAGTAAGGCAGCACAGCACAGCACAGCAAAAGCCACCCCCTATCCATCCCACAGCCCCCTCCCAAGCCCTGCGGCACACCACCAGCTCAAGCTTGGCGGGACCGCAACAGCAGCGCATGTTTAGGCCCTTGGAGCGTGGGAGGGAGGGAGGGAGACAGAGCAGAGAAACCCACTGGCTGGGCGAGGCGGAGGGCGGCGGAGGCGTGGCGTGGCGAGGGCAGAGCAAGCATTTCCGTTTACATTCCGAAATTGGTTTGCTCGAGTCGAGATGAGGAAATGCCCCGGTATGTGTGCGCGCTCGCAGGCGCAAAGTTCCACCCAGCGCGCGCGGCACTCACTGCCGCAGACGCTCGGAAACAACCCCGCTGCAGCCAGCAGCTCACGCTTATTATTTTATTTTTACTAAGCAGATGATACACATTTGACAGTACAGCTAACAGAACTAGCTAACTAAACCAGCAGATGTTGCCTTTTCTTTCGGCACTCTTAAAATTTCAACAAGCTGAAGCTGTAATTACAGCAGCACTTTTTTTTCTTCTTTAAAAAAAACTGCTTTGCTCCCCAAAGTAAAACGCATGCTGCAAAGTATTTTTTCTTCAAAAGTTCGCGTGCGCATGAGTGTAGCTCACCCACCTCTGGGATAGCGCGCAGCCATGGACCACAGAGAGGAGACAGCGCGCCATTTGTGCTGCTGGAGTGGGTGGCGGTGGCTGCTGCTGGCTTGATGGCGAAAGGGCGTGGTGGGCTAGTGGCCGCCGCGGGGGCGGGGCGCCGAAGCGGGGCGGGGTGGTG